CATGAGTACTGAGATTATAGGCATGTGCCAAGCCTACCCAAAATACTTTTTTTTTCCCTTCCAGTACTGGAGATGGATCTCAGAACCTTGCATTTGTGAGGCAGCTGTGAGGTGCCACTGAGCTAAATCCCCTGCCCCAATATACTTTTTAATGTACTAATACAGCACCTAAAAATTTTTTTTGGAGATAGGGTCTTGCCATGTAGTCCAGGCTGGCCTTAAACTCACAATGATCTTCCGCCTCAGCCTGCCAAGTGCTGGGATGACAGTCCTCCATCACCATGCCCAGCTTTTCAGTTAGTACTTTTAAAAAGACATATGAAGGGATTTAAAAATTTTCTGTTAGAAGAGCCTTAGGACAATAGTGTTCAAACCTTCCATATACACAGTTGCTTTGCTATTTAATATAGATTCCTAAGCCCCACACCCATAGAGGTGTTGAATTCTAAAGGCAGCAGACTGGGTTGTTCATTTGCTTACTGCAAATCAACTAACTACAGGGCTCACATATACTTACTGACCTGCCAAGAATGATTAGAACTTCAGAGAAATTCTTCTCAAGAATACTGTATGTCCCTTCTATCTTAACCTGCAATTCTTTCTCACTTGAACTGTTTACTTTTCCTAAATAATAATAAACAGTTTGTAAAGCAAAAAGTAAATTGGAAACTTGGAGGTGACGATTTTTTTAAAAAGGGATGCTCAAATATTTTGAACAAGAAAAGTTCACCTAATATTTTTGTGTTAAATTTCATTCCTCAAGGACAAGTTTATTACCTGCCAGGGATCAAACTCAGGACCTTGCTCTTTTGAGGCAGGTGGAGGCACCGCTGAGCTAAATTCCCGGCCCTAGGGTGAATTTACTTTTGATTCCCCAGTGCCCAAGTAAGCACAAGTTGGAAACTCAATGTTAGTTTTATCAACTTATTTGTGAAAATGGTTTTCAGATAATAGCTTACGACGACAAAAATAAGGCTCCTTTAGTGCAGAAAATTTAGGGTCACACAAGCTATGTCTCCTTAGTGTATTCACACCGGAAATTGATGCCACCTGGTCTCTGAATACGTTTATTCACCATTCAGCTCTTAAGTTTCCCATACCAGCCATCGCAGCTATCCTCTTTGTGTGCTTTACTTCCTTTGGGATGAAATAAACCAGCTACCTATCTCCTTTTAAAGTAGTGCCTTACTATTTGCTATACTTCTGAGACAAAAATTTACTAAATACGTTAACACACCTTATTGAGAAAGCTGAAAGTTTTATGCGGGCTTCTACTTTTTTAATTTGCAAAATTTAAACTAGATGAGGTTTTTTTCATCTTGAATGATAAGGTGTTTTTTTTTTTCCCCAACTATGGAGGGTTGGTATATAAATCTAGAATTTGACAGGGACCCAGTATCAAGGGTAAAGCTAGTTTGCTTTTGGCTGATCTCAATTGTAGAGCACTTTGCTAGGTTAAAATTTGGGAGTCTGGTTCTTGACTTTGTTAGTTTAAAGGTATTTTTTCTTATTCATAATGAAGAAACTGGATTATTAAATTTGTTAGTGAGCATGCAGTCAGTATATAGATTTATCTGGGCTAGGATTGAATTTGATGAATTATTCTTGCTTTGTTACACAATGTATCTTCTTGGTGACTAGAGAGACTAATTCTGGCCCCCAGGTATTATCTCCATGATTACATTTAAAAATCTTGTTTTTCACCTTTTTTCCCTAGATTTCAGTTCTCCCTGACCTTTAAAGTTTGAGGCTCTTCTGTTGACAACAGGAATACATTTTCAGATCATGTTTCTAGAACTAATTACATTATTACTTAACTAATCCTACTTACAGTGTGTGGATTCTGGTCAATTCAGTCTGCAGTTTTCATAGTCTTTCCTTGTTAGACCTTTAGTCTTATCCCAGAATTTTGCTTACTATAACAAATAAGTGTCAACATGTTCTAGTGTGCAGGAAAGGGAAAAGCTAATGGAGACATAGGTAAGTCAGAACAAATGAACTGATATTCACTGAATGCCTTTTGTGTGGTCTTTATATATATATATAAAACATGAATGTTATTTTTACCTTCAGGAGAATTTGAACAGGGGCCTTCTAACCTGTTAGGCAAGCGCCATATACTGAGCTCCCACTACATCCCTATCCCTTGAATGAAACATTCAGGAAATTTCATCTGGCAGTAGGACACAGGATGATTGGTAGGAACTGAGAAATTTAAAAGTAAAGGACACTCAAAGAGCCCACCCCCACCATATTGAACCCAGAGTCCTCACTCAGAGTTATATTCCCAGCATTTTTATTTTGAGATGGCCTCACTGAACTGCATAGGTGAGACTCAACGTTGCGTTCTCCTACCTCAGCCTTCCAAGTGCATGGATGGATTACAGCCATGTGCCACTTGGCTGTGACTTAAACTTTAAAGAAATGAAATGATATGGTATAGGTAATGGCAGTCACAATGGAAAGAAAATTAAGATTTGATAAACTACCAAATATTAGTCTCTGAGATAAGAGCCTGATCTGAACTCCTTGTTCAGTTTTCAAAGACTTTGCTATCCTCACCCTCAATGTATTCAGTTTCTCATTGAATGCTGTCATAGCTCCTCTTGTAATTATGATACTAATTGAGTAATTACTTTTTCCTACTGCTTTAGGTTGCTCCCTGAGGGCAGCACAGTGCTTATTTATGGCTGTATCCCTGTTGCCTGAACACAGTGAGGTCTGCAGTCAAAACTAACCCCCACCTCCACCAGAGATCGGACTCAGAACCTTGTGCTTATGAGGCAGGCGCAGCACCACTGAGCTAAATCTCTGGCCTTTTTTTTTTTTGAGACAAGAGTCTTGATATGTAGCTCAGGCTGTCAATGAGCTCACTATGTAGCCCAGGCAGGCTTCAAACTATGATCCTCTTGCCTCTGCCTCCTGAGTGTTGGGATTACATATGTGCACCACCACTCCTGGCAAGACCATTTTCACAGTACCAAGATATCTGACTTCCTTTACTTATTCTCAAAAGAATGCAGAGGATACATGATGTGTGACGATACTGGAACTGATGTCAATAAGTGGTGCTCTGTAGTTTTAAATTTTCTAATGTGGCAGGTAGGTTTAGATATGTGTTCTAAGAAATTAATTAACCTTTTACATTATATCTTCTATAATTATCCAACTTGATAGCTTTCAGTTATTCTAAATATCTTAGTTTTTCTTGTGCTTAAGCATAAATGAAAATAATACATTTTGTTGTCTTATGTATTAAATATTTTTCTTAAAATTTCCAAACGTTAAAAGTGCAACATTTTAGTTTTGAAATTTTATTTGAAAAGAAATGGACAATTGGTTTATTGGATTGAAAAACAAAAAGCTATTTGATTAACCCACAGCTTACATTGTCTTTTAAGAATGCTATATAAGATTGTCTTGGAAGGAAGAACTGACCAAAGAAACTAACAATGTGAAAGCTGTGTTTTGTTTGGTTTTAGAGATAATCTAACATAGTTTGTCTTATGCAACAGAACATTTTGAATAGTGTTGGTGCATCTGTAGCTTTTTAAAAGGTATTGAATGTTTTAAATGCAGCTGTGTGATGTTCCTTAAAAGGAAAAAAGAAAAAGGTTTCAAACTACGAATGATAAACTACCTATGTATTTTAAAGGGTAAATCAGTTCATTATATTGGTAGGGGAAGCAAAGATAATAGCTGAGCAACTAAAAAGCCATACAGATCATATTGCTGAAATATCTGCTAGATAAAAACAAGAAATAGAGTACTTCCTGTTTTAAGTATTTCAGCAACTTGGCATGTTGGAGATTTCTTTACAGACATGAAATTGAGGGTATTACACCTTACAAATAGTTGAATATAAAAAAGTGGCTGGACTTGGTTCTGTGTTTTACTTGCCTTTGCTGGGCATCAGCTAATCAAAGATACTCTATGTGAATGCTTGACAATAAACATGTACTGAAAATTTCAAAACGTGGAATGGCTTTTTAATCTTGCGATTCATCGTAAACAACTCTATGTTGACATTTATACTGATAATTAAAAAAATAATAGCGGGTAAAACTGCAGGCACCTTAGTAAAAATTAAAGAAGCATAACCTCATTTTAAGCCATTTTATGTAAGAATGTCCTGTGAAAGCATTAAAATTATTTTGTTAAATGTGGATCCCTGAGTACATGCTTTTTAATGTGAGTGATGGAATGGAAAGTTTGCATTTAGTACTTAGGATGATGACTACTCTGGGAAGATACTGCAGCAATAGAGTTAGGAAATGAGTGCCAGTGTGGTGGCACATGCCTGTAATCCTAGTACCCAGGAGGATAAGGCAGAAGGATTACTGCAGTCAGGGCCAGCCTTAGCTACATAGTGAATACAAGACCAGCCTGAACTGCATAGCAAGATCTTGTCTCAAAAACAACAAAAACATTGAATTAACTTTTCTTAGAGCACCATTTTTACTTGATAAAATGATAAATTTGCCCTGTGGTAAACACCTATAATCCAAGCACTTGCGAAGCTGAGGCAGGAGGATGGCAAGTTGGAGGAGCTACACAGTGAGACCATCTCAACCAAAGCAAACAAAAGCTGCTCTAACACATACACACACATGATAAACACTCATATGCCTGGATGACTAGGATAATGGGCATGTTAGGACAGGAAGATTTCTGTGAAGAGAAGCCCACATTTTAGGGACATGAACTAAAAATTGGAGAAAAACTAATACCATTCTTTGTCTTTTCTAGTAAAAATTGCTTCTACCATAAATCTGTGATTGAGCAGCGTATAACTTAAAAGTGATTAGCAAACATGTTAGCCTGGTGGCATGATAAGACTGTTATAAAGAATGACACATTTTTTTCAAATTGTGCACATTTAAAATTTTGGTATGCAGCCAGGAGTGGTGGTGTATGCTTATAGTCCTAGCACTGGGGAGGGTTGAGATATGAGGATCTCCACTAGTTTGAGGCCCACCTGGGCTACATAGTGAGTTCAAGGCCAGTTTGAATTACAGAGTGAGACCTTAACAAAACAAAATAAATGAACTTTTGGTATGCAGACTGGTGTTTCTTCTAAACTTCAAAACAAAACAAGACAAAATAACCAAAGTCCAGTAGCTACATTGGGTAGAATTTTCAAACGTTGACCATTCTGCCACTGAGCTTCACACATGACACCTTAAAACTTCTTGGAAAATGTTACCCTGACGATTGGTATTTCCATTTTGTATGCCTATTAAGCACTCACATGCTTTACTGTACTTTGGGTACTTCAAAATAAATATATTTTTATCAGTCTTAAATATGTTTTGGTCCATGCAGTGGACACCTGAGCCATTAATGTGTCAGAGTCTAGTTTAGGCAGAGTTTTCTGAAAGCCTATCATTTTAAAAGAAACCAATCCTCTTTTTAACTATTCCAGTGCAGTTATCTAGAAATAACTCCTCTTGTTAGATTGATAAAATTTTTCCTAATTTTTAGCATTTTTACCCTCCAAAATATACTGACTCATTCCCAATAACCAATTCTCTTTCCTATCTTTTCATGTTACCCAGGAGACCCATTTCCATGGTTAAAAATCTGTAACTCAAGTGCAGGTCTTCTAAATCTTGCTCATAGCCCATTTCCTATTCTGGTCGCCCTATCAGCAAAAGATAGTGGGAAGGAGATGCCTACTACCTATAATCACCATCTTAAATCAGTCTGTCAATGTTTTCATTGCAGTATTTAATAGAATTAAAGCTATAATGACTGAAGCACAAAATTGATGTAGTTCTATAAAAACATCCCTGATAAAATGTAAAAACATTAATAATTCACTGGTTCAGCAAATACTGAATGCCTACTGTGTGGTGGTACTGTGTACCTACCTGTAGGCACTTGGTAGGAATGGTCCTTGTACTTTGGGTTCTGCGGACAGCTCACCAGCCCCTTACTTAATTTGAGGTTTAAAAGGTTTCATGTGTCATAGGTAAAAAGTTATTACAATGAATGCAGCTGTGGATTCTGATACAGGACATGGAACTTTTATAAATGCCTTATATCCAGTTCATCCTGAAGTGTGGGTTAAATCTGAAAGAAACCAGATTAGGATTGCTAACTATGCTATGAATGTGAACTCTTTCAAAGGAGGAACTGTTCCTTTTATTATGAATGGAGATGTTAAAAAATAGTAAGTGGCACATTATTCGTATGATACAGCAAATTTAAACTGAGTGCAGCCAGACACTCAGAATAAACTGAATACTATAATGAATTCCACATAAACCCTCAACGGTTCTTTGTCCCAGGGAAGCACCATTTTACAAAGACTGAATATTGAGGTTATTTCATTATCTGGGGAAGGACTTGATGCCACTAGAAAAGCAACTAAATGTGAACAATGAGCCAGGCAGAAATAAACTTACATGACTCCCAAATTAAGTTTTCATCCAAAGAGACATCAGTTTTTTCTCTTATCTTTGACCCACAACATAAAAAATCTGACAGGTTCATGTTTGGATTTCAAAAGCAACACATGCCTTTGTGTACTGAAAGAAAAATCTACGTGGTTTCTTGGTCCCACACCTCATCTGCCAATGTTTCTACTATTCTTTACAAATAGAAATATCATGTACACAGCATTTATAGTCTCTTTCATAAATTTTAGTCCTGTCTTACATCTGTGTGTTAATCTGAATAAGAGATGCCTATTTTAAGACAGATGTTTTTCTGTAGGCCTTGTGAAATTTCATCTTGTCACAGGGCAATCACTACTACAAATGTAATTATGCCTTATTTTTTGAGGGTGAGATAAAAAGAAGAGCAAAGCTGCATGGGCAATAAGAGGTATCCTAAGATCTTCTGATTATGTTCTCTGCCTTTTATATAGGCCAAGGTGGCTTTCTACTTGACACAACAGAGAATAAAGCCATAAAGCCTGAAAATAAAATGTTCTAAAATTAGACTTCAGGGCATTTTCAATAATCATCTATAAAGCATTTGAAGGAAATTACTAACTCAGATGCTGAGGCAAGAGGATCAAAAGCTAAAGCCAGGCACGGCGGTGCATGCCTGTAAAACCAGCACTTGGGAGGCTGAGACAGGAGAATTGCTGCAAGTTCGAAGTCAGCCTGGGCTACATAATGAGGCCAGCCTGAACTACATAGCAAGACTCTGCCCCAAAAAATTAAAAAAAAAGGTGGGGGGGCTGGAGGTTTAGCTCAGTGGTGCCAGTGCCTGCCTTGGGCAAGCGCAAGGTCCTGAGTTTGGTCCCTGGTTTTGCAAACAAAACAAAGAATACAAAGGGCTGGGGGTATACCCCAGTGTGAAGGCCTCATACTACGGAATAAAGGGCTGGAGAGAAAGCTCATTGCCAAGGTCTTGTGTAGAATCCCTAGTATGGGGGGGGGAAGAAAAATACTAATTGCCATCTACCTCCTCAAACAGTTCTAAGGAAGGCTCTGAAAGGCTCTCTCTTTTAAACCTTTAAATTACATCATATTGTAGTTTGGTTAAAATAATGCAGGCTGCATTTCTGTTAATATTTGTCTCTCAAAGCAAGTTCTTCATGCTGACATTTTCATTGTTGGGAAGTAGGAAAACTACTAACCATCATTCTTTGTATTACCAAGGTGTCCCTCTTTCTCCTTCTTGATCTGAAGAATGAACAAAAGCTTGAGGTGTTCGTTTCAGAAGATAAACTGCAGCATGAAGACCCCCAATATTCACCCAGACCGTATGGACCTTTCGCCACACATGTCCCATTCCAGATAATGCCTGTGTATACACAAAAAGCAAAAAAACAAAAACAAAAACAAAAACAAAACCAGGCTGACAATCTGCTTATAAACAATCCAGGGATCTTAGCTGCCAGTTAAGTAACACCGGGAAGAGAAAACATATCCTATTCAAATGAATATCCTGAAATTGCCACAGAAAGATTTTGAGCTAATGTTCAGCACCTTGGCAAAGCACTTCTTGTCCTGGGTAAGGAGTACGGCTCGGCCTGTTCCAGGTCTACAGACACGGCTCATCTCCCTCAGGCAAGCTGGATAAAGATTCCAGTTTCTCTTTTTGGAGCCCATCCTATATATAAAAGAAAGTCTGATGAGTCAACCATTGACTGTTGTAAAAGATAAACATCTAGGACTGTATGAAATGAGAACAAACATTTATGCATCCCAAGGCATAAAAAAAAAAAAAAAAGCCAGACTGTGGCAGTTATGTGAATAAAATAAGCTATGAGAGTGAACTGTTAAGAATTTTGTATCAAATCAATTTTTAACAACTAAAACTTGTCTTCTTAGTGAGTATAATCAAACTAAACCAAACCAATGCTTAGAAAACAATTTATGCTGAGAATCAGTCATCTTCCTCATTCATTCTTTTTATTTGAACTATGATTGTGTAATTGAACAACAAATAGGGTAAGAAGTGAATTACAGGTAATTAAAAAAGCAACCGCCTGTAATGGTTGGGATCAAAATATGTATTTGATATATTCCTGAATTCTCAGGGGAAACAAAATGGGTGAGTCTACCATGACTGTTAAAATTGTTCAGAAAAAGCCAAGTATGGTAGTAACGTGCAAAATCCCAGCACCAGAAGGCAAAAGCAGGAATCTGAGGCCAGGCTGGGTTACAAAGTAAGTTCAAGGCTAGCCTTGACTACATAGCAAGACATATTCAAAAAAACCAAAAACTTTAGCAAAAAACAAAACAAAACAAAACAAAAAAATGGTTCTAAGTCTGTTAAAAGGAAATGCAGACTTTTTTATTAACTTACACATGAAGTACAAATAATATTTGTACTAAATATTTAGAAGACAAGTTACCAGAATAACAGGTAAAGTAAAACAAACTTTTTTTTTTTGCTTTTCAAGAAAAATAATGCCTACCTTTTTCCAAATGGCATATCTGTAACAATGATATCCACAGAGCCAGTTCTCAGTGGAAGATTGCAGCTATCCCACTGAACAGCATCAATAGGTAATCCCCAGGAGGATTTGCTGCAGGGACAAAGGAAAGGTGCTTCAACAGATTCTGAAATATGAAATTTTAAAAAAAGTTTTCCCAAGGGAGACTTTGGTATAGCAAAGTACAATGCTATGAATCATAGAAAATTACAAACTGATCATAACCTTAAAAGTGACATGTAAAAAGGAACTTTATATACATTAAATAAAACTAGTATAATGACTGAAATGGAGAAACTACATATAAATTTAAAAATGGTTAAGATCGATTTTCAAAAGATGTTCACATGGGGTGTGGTGGTGCAAGCTTGTAATCCCAGCACTCAGGAAAATGAGGCTGGAGAACCACCATAATGTTCCAGGCCAGCCTAGACAGCATAATGAGACCCTGTCTCAAAAAAAGATGTTGACATATGTTTCAAAAACAGTTTAGGGGGCCAGAGATTTAGCTCAGTGGTTCCGCTGCCTGCCTTGCAAACAAAAGGTCCTGAGTTCGATCCCCAGCACCAAAAACAAAAAGTAATGTATCAAATACAGTTTAGGAAAATGAATCAAGAGAAATTATGCCTGTACCAACTGCAAGAGAACTTTATAGTGTTAAAAGGAAAAAAATTAGTGAAGATAAGGGTACAACCAATATTATAGACATAAAATAGGATCACATGTGCTACGTATATAATCATGAATATTAAACTTTTTTTTAAAAAAACGATTTACAAATGTAAGCCTCAATATTATAGAGGCACTTGTCTTTGGATCTCTTGAGGCTAAGTGTAGATCAAATGACTTCCTGTGTTATGTAATCAGGATGTGGTGCATTGGTAAAGCCAAATCTGTTGACCAGTACTTCTAGAGTAAAGGACAAGGGCCGGGATTTAGGTCAGTGGCACCTTGCCTGCTTCGTGAGCACAAGGTCCAGAGTTCAATCCCCAGTACCAGGGTCTGGGGTGGGGGATAATAAAGGACAACTACCCAGGTCAGAGAAGTGGGCTTATGGTGGAGCTCCTGATAAGAAATTATACTTTAAGCCACAATACAACCAGTTCTTCCCCAAAGACTCAAAAAGAATGAAGAGAGGCTGTCACAGAAGGTGTCCTCAAATGGAAGTTGTAGCCCTTAAGATGCTGCAAAAATACGTAAGTCAAAAGGATAAACGACACACATAAGCAGAGGCTGATGGACTTCCAAACTATGGATATCAAAGGACTACGATTTAGAAAGAGAGCTTTCCTCAAGAACCCACTGGGCTGGCACCTTGATCTTGGGTTTCATAGCTTTATGAGGAATGCATGTTAAGCCCTTTACCCCCATGGGAGAGGATGATTTAATACCCTTACATATTTAAGTGTGAAGGTCCTGGTTTCAATCCTCAGTATCAGTATCAGTATGGAAAGAAGAAAAAGGAAAACAGAAAAAGTTGGAATAGTATGAGGAAAGTAATATTTTAAAAATATAAATTATTTTTAATAAATTTAAATTTTAAATGGATTCTCACTCTACATTCATCTTGGCTATACGGTCACAATGCACTGAGGTTATTAAGTCAAAATCAACACGAAAAGTAATTAAGTCTAAAATATGATACAAAAGATTTAGAATTTTACCTTTCTTTAACTTGGCTCTTGGTCAATAAAGATGAGATATTATTGGCTGCCCTTTTCACAGCCAGTGGACTATTATCACCAGCAATATGATAACAGTTAGACCATTCAGTAGCCCCCTAAAAGACAGGTGTATATATTAAAACATAAGTAACAAGCTGCAAAAAATTGTGAAGGGGAGAGTTATTCCGATTAGTTGTCATAAGATAATCAGTGTTCTTTTCAAAAGTGGCAAAACAATATATTGTCAAGTTTGCTATTGCCCTTGTTGGAAATGCCTTCTCTGCTTGCTGAACTACTACCTATCTTTTAAAACCCAGCTTGACTGTCAACTTAGTGGAGTAAGAGATTGCTGGAGGACTGGACTGTGAGGGCACAGCTGAATGAGCTACTAAAAAGGTGGGAGGACCGGGGATTTGACTCAGTTGTTCCACCACCTGCTTTGCAAGTGCAAGGACCCAAGTTTGATCCCCAGTACCCCCCCCAAAAATTAAATAAATAAAAATTAAAAAATAAAAGGTGGGGCGTGGCTGGAGGAAGTACATCAAGGGTATGTGATTGTGGGGACTATAACTGGCCCTGGCTCTTTCTTCTCTGATGTCTTCCCAAGCTCTCTGCTTCCTGGATGCCATAAAGCAAGCAGCTTTGCTACACCGTGATGTTCTACTTCACTTCAGACTCACAACAACGGAACTAGCCAACCATGAACTAAAACCATAAGCTTATTAAATCTCTAAGTTTTGAGTGGTGGGTATTTTGTTCCAATGTCTGAAAGGCGACTTACTACACAGCTTAAATGTCATACTCTCTTTAACATCGAACAACTCTCCAAGCTGTCTTTCATCTCCATAAAAGCACCTGTACACACCTCTGCCACTACACTTGTTCCAATTTTAATTATGTTCCTACGTAACCTGCCTCCCAACCCATCTAGGAACTCCTTCAGAACAAATCTAGTATTTTATTCAATCCCAGGCTCAGCAGTGTCTGACATGCAGAAGGCCTAACAGTCCCTATCTAAACATGGTTTAAAAAATTAAGCAAGTAAAACTACCCTATACCCTTTTGGACTGTGAGTTAATATAATCAGATCTACTGAAATACTTGACTGTCTCACAATAAAGTCATTTCCTTTGTATGATAGCCTCTTAAACAGTAACTGCCATGTCCCTGAAAGGCTTTTTAGTTTTGTATCAAAAACTTGTCAGCAACAGACTATAAATACTGGGCTCTCACATTTCCTTTATGAAATGAGGTGACATAATACCCTAGGCCTGAACAATGTTTTGTGCAAGTTAATAGAAGATTTCTGACATGAAAGCAGAGAAAGGTTCTACTCTCTGCTTGGAGATGAGTAATGGACACCACTTTCTTTTTGAATGGGAATACAACTTTATTTTGCCCAGACACAAGGGTGATGACATACTACATCCTGTAATCCTGCAGGGATTATAAAAGGGACTTCAGAATTTGGCTGAGCAGGGATGGAGAAGGAAACTACATGTGTGATGAAAGTCTCAATGATTCTGACTTCCCATCAAAACATTTACTGATACACTTTAGATATACACCATGATAACATGCATCACGGGGAGTCTGTACCTGTACATGATATATCTTGTTTCTTTTTTTCCCACCTCCCCTACTTTGACCCTTCTTCCCCTCATTTTCAAAACCAACATTCTTAACACTTATTTGGATTTTCTGCCTCAAAAGGACCTGGATTTATAGTATTTCCATGTTTTAAAAGAAATAAATCTACATAAGTACCTTTACTTTCTTTCACAATTTTATACATTTTGACCACACAGCAGTTTAAGTGTTACCACATTGGCACCCTCATGCCTACAAACAGCTTTTCTTTTAAAGCTATCTTTTTTACTCTGTTCTCTAACTCTGTTGTATATTTCTTGATATCCAATGGCCTTACCTGATGTTTCACAGACATATTACAGTTTGGTGTTAAGAGACAAGCACTGCTTTATCCCACAATTGTTTTACTATGACTGGGTTTTCTCAGTACAGGTCTCTGCAGGCAGAGGGACTTCTGGTGCTAACATAATAGTCACACAAACTATAGTTTCCTTCATGCATTTTTAACTTCCAGATCACAGATGTCATTTTCTAATTATAGTCTGGATTATTTTTTTCCTTGTTGGTGGTTATGGACTTGCTCATTTGTCTAGTTTGCCTGTGTACAGAAACTGCAGCTTTTTCACATTGGCTTTTGGTATACCCTATTGAAAAACTTTGTTTCTCCTAAATTTAAGTGATTTTATTGTGAGTTCCCTCTTTAAATAATTTCTACATGTTTAGACAGATTCACTAAAACAGTTAAATGATCTCTACTTAGAAAACACAGTCCCATTTCTTGCTCTATGAAGTTTTTATGGGTCCTCTCAATGTCACAGTAATTTTAAACACTACTGAAGAGCATTTGGTATGCAGCCTTGTCAACTTTTTAAAAAATCTAAATAATACTCCTAAGTTTCCCTTTATTGCAGTGCTGTGGATTGAATCCAAGGCTTTGCACAAGATAGGCAAGTGCTCTACCACTGACTATACCTTCAGTGATTCTCTTTTTTAAGATACTCACTCTCTCTAGCAGACTACACTAAAAACTATATTCTCACTAAACAGAGATAAAAAACCACCTTCCTTCAATTTATGCTTCTACCTTCAATTAGTCTTTCCTATCTAATTTACTAGCTTACCTGATACAGAAAAGAGACTCACCAGTCTGTAATCTTCAGTCTCCTTTTAATCCGATGAATAGACAATCACTTCTCCAGTCCTGCCACACTTGACTGTTTACTACTGTAATTCTTTTAAAACTCTTGGTCAACTGACTTAACTTTGATGGTTTCCTTATGTCTAATTTGCCCATTAGGCCTAGATCAGAGCTCATCTAAAGCTAACGATTGTGCATGCTTGTGATCCCAACATCCGATTACAAGATTGCCTCCAGTTCAAGGCTAGCTTGAGCTACATAGTGAGCCCTGGTCTCAAAAACAAAAAACAAACTAATGGAAAGGTATTACCTCTATTGGTATTGCCCCTGTTCCACACATTGGATCAACTATTATATCAGTAGGTTGAGGTGCACAGAGCCTGGAGAAGAAAATAAAAAAGCACAGTCAATATATACATTAAGCAGAAGCTAAGCTTCCACAGTGATGATTCCTAAAGCTGTAAGTTAAAGGGTCTTTCAAACTAGTATGAGAACACCTGTCTACAGTAATTTTTTTTTTTTTTTTGGTACCAGGGATCAAACTCTGGACCTTGTGCTTACAAGGCAGGCAGCGGCCCCACTGAGCTAAATCCCTGGCCCTTCTATAGTAATTTTTAAAATGAATTTGTAATTCTATATTGGCTGACTGACCTAGCACTTAAAAATATGTGTGTGTATGTATGTGCATATATATATATATGTATGTATATGTATATGTGTGTATGTATGTGTGTGTGTATATATATATATAAAACCAAAGTTCCTTTTGACTATCACCTGAAATCTCATTTTAGTTCCAGATCTTTGAAAATATACATGTGTGGACTTACTAGCATGCACGCACACACACATACATATTTTTTAAAAAAGTGCTGTTTTGCATAAAAACCTGTATAACATAAAAAGCTGAAACATGTCTCAAGCAAAACATGTGCCAAAAATAAGTTTATGGGCAATTAGACATTCACTGGTCCTTTATTTTTATTTTACTTTTTAAAAATATATTTATCAATTGTCTTTGCCTTTTTTTTTTTTTGGTACTGGAGATCGAACTCAGGACCTTGGCTTGCCAAGCAAGTGCTATGCCACTGAGCTACATCCCTGGCTCAGTGTTACTTTTTTTTTTTTCTTTTCCTTTATTTTAAAATTTTATTTGTTTTTGAAACAGGAGACAGGGTGATCCTCCTGCCTCAGCCTTCCAAGTGCTGAAATTACCATACCTGGCTTGTTTGACTTTTTTTGGGGGGGGCAGTCTCTGTTGTTCAGACTGGTCCTGAACTCACTAATGTAGCCCAGAGTGGCCTCAAACTTGCGGCAATACAAGCCTCCTGAGTGCTGGGATCTGGCTTATTTAATTTTAAAGACAACCTCAATATAAAATAATTCTTTATTTGAGCATTTAGTTTTTGACAGGCATGAATTTAGGATCCTTCATACATCATTTATGAAATGCTAACAATTCTCTTCATTTGGTTACCACTATTATTTTATAGGTAAAGTAAAACATCTGTCCAGGGACACAAAACTCAAGTAGGGGACAGTCAGAATTAAAGTTGATGGCTTAAGTGTCACTTCTTCAGTGCTAATTGTTTCTCTCCCTCACAAGACAGATCCATCTCTCAACACATGACAAAAGACTCCTTGGCAACTATCTTGTGGTAGTAAGCAACCCTGTACTCTCAGCTGTGGCTGATAGGGCAGGAAGGTGGACATTTTATCAAAACTATGGCACACAAATCCTCTCTTTGGGAAATATGGAATAAAGAGCTAAAAGTTCTAGGAAGTACAAGCTGATTCTTTGAAACTGGAAAAATATAAATTTAGTTGAGAGATAGCCATGTACACAGATGAACCAAGGTAAGAGCCAAGGCAAAGAGTAGCTGCTGAGGTTTCTGGTTGTTTTCCAATACTAGTTTCTGCCCTTTTTGAAACATAGGGACTATATGTTTTTTGAGGGACTCTACAGGACTTCTCATCTACTGCCCAACCTGCCAGGCATAATCACTAGCTTTTATACTAAACTAGTTAGGCTACCAATAGTTGCACCAAAAATAAATCACTTTGTATTCTTGGCTGCTATAATAACTCCAGATAATAAGTATTTGAATAGAGTTGGAACCCGTAAGCAGGACGTGGTGGTGCATATCTGTAATCCCAGCACTTGGGAGGCTGAAGCAGGAGGATATTTTTGTTTAAAAAAAAAAAAGAGCTATTAAAGAACCCAGTTTTTTATTATTTGCTTTGAATTAATATGGTTCAAGTGTCTTGAACTATGACTCCACCAAGACATGTGAGAACTGCATATAAATTATTTTGCATTTATTTCTGCATTTAATCCTTACTACTAATCTTTTACGTCCCAAACTAAACCCACTTTGCAGTGTCAGAATCAGAAGCTTGAGAAGATATACTTGTCCAAGTGGTGGAAAAAAGCACTCAATAAGAGGGAAGGGCAAACAAAGAACAGGGAAAGCTAGATCTTACACTTTGAAAAGTGGAAAATTTCCAGAATGATTCCTAGGCTGTTGTTAAGTGTAACTTTAAAAAACATGAGTAAAAGTTTTCTATACTAATTTACATGCTATATGCACTTCAAAAATCTCTTTCATCTGTTTCACTTCACAGAAATGAAGCACAGCAAACTCTGCTCTTCCCCCCAATGTACAGTATATCCTTCCCAAAAAGAAATGTGGCTACCCCTTCTCATTTTAAAATTTAAAAAGCTAGTTGGGCATAGTGGTGCATGCCTATAATTCCAGCACTTTGGAGGCTGAGACAGGAGAATCTTCAAGAATTCAAGGCCAGCCTTGGCAACAGTGAGTTTAAGGCCAGCGTGAACTACAAAGCAAAACTGTCTCAAAAAAACCAAGAAACAACCACAGCAGTAAGAAATAATTCTAGTCAATTAAATTTTAAAAATTAGTTTAAAAATCAAGAAAACTGGGGGCCGAGGATTTAGCTCAGCGGTTCAGTGGCCTGCCTTGCAAGTGCAAGGACCTGAGTTCAATCCCCAGTACCAATAACTAACTAACTAACTAACAAACAAACTGGGAAACTGGTTACATATTTTCATAAGGAATCATTCGATACAGGGGAAAGAAACCTATTATTAGTTTTTTAACAATCTTGTTTTTTGTCCACTCAATTCCAACTCAGTATCTTACCAAAGAGGGGAAAAAAATCAGTGTTTGGAAGAGAATATTCAAGGCAAAGTACTTTAATCTGGAGAGCAAAATATTCATTCTCTTACCTGAGCATCCCATAAGCAAGAGTTGATCTAAGAGTTGTTGGTCCAAAATTTGTAATATTTCTGCGGTGTAGGCTCTCCTCAGTCAATGCAATACCTACAACCACTTCATTATCATGGATATTCAAGAGAACCTATGACAGTTAACAAGACAGAAGAAAATATCTGCATTTATTACTAAGATTTTTAAACTGAGGCTTTATAAATAAGCCTTTGTGGGTGAGGTTTATTTTGCATGTAGGCAGACAAAACTTCACATAAATAAAATAGCACGCACTATTTTTCTGTTTAAAGTCTAACAACCTGATTTTCTCCTGTTTTATAATGCAAGCATTATTTTTTAAACTTTATCGGTACATTTTAGGTTTTGTTTGGATACCAGGGATCAAATTCAGGACCTTGCACTTGCCAGGCTGGCATGGTGCCATGGAGCTACATCCCCAGCCCTACTGGTACATGATGATATATCTCATCATAACAACACTCATAGAGAATTTGCACCGTTCAGGATATATCCTGCCTCTTTTTTTTTTTCATTTCCTCTCCCCTCAAGCCTTCCTTCCCTTCCTATAAGCAAAAGCTTTGTTTCCATTTTTTCTATTTTTACTTTTTCTCGTCCTGTCATTCTTTTCTTCCTCCCACTGCCCTTGTTGTTCCCATGTGAACGGTCTTACCATTTCCCAACATTACACATTTTTAAATTATACATTTTGGTCCTTATTTCCACTTTGTTTCTCATACCAGAGAAATAATGTGGTATTTAAACATATGTATTTTATTTATTTTACTTAAAAGTATATAGTCTCAGGGCCGGATATTTAGCTCAGTGGTTTCACCACCTGCCCCATAAGCGCAAGGTCCCAAGTTTCAACCCCAGTACCAAATAAATAAATTTTAAAAAAGAGTATAGTCTCAAGATACACCCATTTAGCTATAAATTTCTTCAGCTCATCTTTCTTTTAGCAGAGTACTACTCCAGTGTAAAAAAACCCGTGTCTTTATCCATTTATTGGTTGATGGGCATTTGGGCTGTTTCCAAGATATAGCTATTACAAACTGTGCTGCTATAAACATGGGTGCATATACACTGCTGTGCTAAGATGTTTTTAATTTTTTCAGGAAGACACCAAGAAGGGAAATAGCTGGGTCAAATGGAACCTCTAGTAGTTTTATTTTGAGGAATCTCCACACTAATTTCCACAGTGGCTGCACCAGTGTACACTCCCACCAATAATAGTAGAGAAGGGTTCCTTCCCCCCCCCCAGTCTCTCCAGCATGTTATTGGTTGATTTCTTGATAAGACCTATTCTTTCTGGAGAATCTCAGATGTTTTAATTTGCATCTCTTGCATAACCAGTGATGTCAAACACTTTTTCATATATTTCACGTGCCATTTGTACTTCACCTGAAAAGTGTCTATATTCACTTCAGATGCCCATTTTTGGATTGGTCTTTAACTTGGGGGGGGGTCTGATTTTTTTGAGTTCTTAATATAGTTTAGATAGTAGTCCTTTGTCTGAGGAACAGCTGGCAAAATTTCTTTTCCCACAATGTGGGCAGTCTCTTGACTCTGTTGGTGGTGGCTTGCTTGCTTGTTTACTTACGTACGTATTTATTTATTTATTTATTGGGACTGAGGATCAAACTCAGGACCTTGCACTTGCAAGGCAAGCAGGGTGCCACTGAGCTAAATCCCCAGCCTGCAAGAGCTTTTTAGTAAGATGCGATCTCATGAACGATACTTCTGTGCATTTCAGATTTTGTTCCTAAAGCCTTTGCTTATAGCAGTGTCTTTGAGAGTTCTACTGATTTTATCTTCCAGCAGATTGTTTTACTATTTAGTTTCATGCATGGTGAAAGATATGGGTGTAGGTCCAATCTTTGGCATGTGGAAAGCCAGCTTTCCCAGCACTTTATTTTCTTTTTGCCAATGAGGGTGTTCAGCCCCTTTATCAAGGATAAGTTAGCAGAATGTCTCCTGCATTGTTTCTGCATCTTTGTTCTGTTCCATTGATCCTTGGATCTAGTTTTTCTTTTCTTTTTTTCAGTCGCATGCTCTTTTTATCACTGTAGCTTTGCAGTACAATTTCAAATATGGTATTGGGATGTCCCTGCCTTGCCCGTTGTCAAGAACTGCTTTTGCTATTCTAGGTCTCTTCTGGTCACAAATGAATTTTAGGAATACTTACTGGGCATGGGTGATACCACGATTAACAAATGAATTTTAGGATTGTTTTCTCTATAACTCTGTGAGATATGCTATTGGTACTTTGATCGGGATTGCATTAAGCCTGTGTAACAATTTTGAAGTATGGCCATTTTCACTATATTGGTTCTGCCTATCCATTTTCTGCTATCTTCTTCAATCTCCTTTTTCAGAGTACTGTAGTGTTTTATGTAGGTCTTTTACTTTGTTAGATTAATTCCTAGGTATTTCATTTTTCTTGATGCATTGTCAAAGGTATTATTTCTCTAATTTCTGATATGTTATTTGTATATAGGAAGGTTACTGACTTTCGAGTGTTGACTTGTATCCTGCTATACTGCTGAATTTTCTTATTAAATCTAGAAGTCTTTTGGCGGAGGTTTTGGGGTCTTTTATGTAAAGCATCAAGTCATCTGCAAATACCTATAGTTGAACTTCCTTTCCTATCCTTATTCCTTTTCTTTCTTGTTTAATTGCTCTGGCTAATGTTTCCAGAACTATACTGAGTAAGAGTGGTGACAGTGTACATACTTGTCTTGTACCTGCTCTTAGAATGAAAGCTTCGTTTTGGTCCATGAAAAATGATGTTGGTTGGCTTGTCATAGATGGTGTTTATCAAATTGAGGCTAAGACTATCTATTTCAATTTTGTGTGGGGTTTTTATCACAAAAGGGTATTGGACTTTGTCAAATGCTTTTTCTGCATATGTTGAAAGGATCATATGATTTTTGTTCTTGGATCTGTGAATATATTACACTTATTAATTTGTGTATGTTGAACCACCCCTGCTTCCCTGGGATGAATTCTACTTGGTCATGGTGTATAAGCTTCTTGATGATTTGCTGCATTCTGTTTGCCAATATTTTTCTGAGGATTTTTTCATCTATGTTCATTAGGGAGACCGGCTTTTTTGGATGGACCTTTTTCTGCTTTGGGTATCAAGGTAACGCTTGCCTCCAAGAATTAATTTGGGAGTACTGCTTCCCTTTCAATTTCTTTAGAGTTTGAGAAGCATCAACTTTAAATTTCTTGGAGAATTCAGCAGTGAATCCGTCAGGGTCTGGGCTTTTGTTGGTAGGTTTTAATTTACATCTTCAATTTCATTGGTTGATACTGGTTTATTTAGAATTTTTATATCTTCTTGATTCGATCTTGGTAATTCATATGTATCTAGGAATATGTCCATTTCTTCTATTTTCTATCTTATTAGAATACAGGATCTAGCTGAGGATGTAACTGAGCGGCACCATGCCTTCCTGGACCGTGGAAGACCCTGAGTTCAACTCCCAGTACTGAGAGGAGAAAAAAAGACCAAAAACCAAAAACCAAAACAGATTCTAGAAGTAGGTATTGATAATCTTCTGTAAATCTACAGTGATTTGACCCTTTTCATTCCTAACTGCACGAATTTGAGTCTTTTCTTTTTTTGATAAGGTTGGCTAAGGGTTTGTCAATTTTATTTAATCTTTCAAAGAATCAACTCTTCCATTCATTATTTGTACTGTTTTCTTGCTATAATAAAAGCGTTATTTGAAGGTTTATGGTTTTTTAGAAAACATTTTAAATAGAAGTGCTACAATACCACTAGCACACTGAATTCCTAATTACACACTTTAACCATATTAACCTACTGTTAGCACTGCACCATATCTGCTTTATCATCCAGTTTTCAACTTCAGTATTTTCTTAAACTAGACTCACTTGAATCATAATGTCTATGATATAATGGCTTTTGTGATCAAATTATAGTTTACCTAAATAAAAATAAAATGTTCCCTCATCTTCCACCTAAAGTTTCTTCATGATCTTACCAATAGTAGCAGTAGCTGTGACACTTCTCCATGCAAGGCACTGTCCTACACACTATACTCATGATCTCACTTCCTAGTCAACAGCTCTGAGCTAGGTAGCGTGGATCCCTGTGTATAAGGAATCTCAGGCACAAAGACAACTCGCTTGCCCAGCCCTACAGCATCTAAATTGGGATTTAAATGCAGGCAGCATGGCTCAGGAATCTGCCTTCTGAGCCACATTGCTAACTTTTAGCCATAACTTTTCTAGTTGGTGCCGATTCATTTTTAGGACAGCTGTATAAAGTAAAAAGAAGTGGAGAAGTGTTCTCCTGATCCGACATACCAAGGGAAAAAAAATTAGAGAGGCAGAGTAAATGACTTCAAATTCAAATATCAGAATAGCCAAAGAAATTGACTTTTTGTGGTAACTATGTCAGCTGCTAGACACCCGTAAAACTGTCAGGTTTATGGCTCCAGTTACTGCTCAGAAGTTAATCAACTGGGCAGTCACAAGGGCTGTAAGCATGCTAAAAGTATTTGGGTATGGGAATAGGGTAAGTATTGGCACAGATGACAGATTTGAGGTTGAGGTTTTAAAAGTGCCCTTCACTTTTTCTAGTACCAAAGCTAGAAACAAGACATACAAATTGTTGAATTTTATAATATGAAAGTATACATAATGTAGAAGAAACAGTACTAGCTTGTAAATGAGAAAACTTGTGTCTTAGAAGCTCCTGCCTGTAAATGCTCAGCATGTGCCATGGTCTTGTAACAAATATGTACTTTAGGGCCATGGTGGTACTTGTCTGCAATCCTAGTATTCTGATGAGCAGAAGGACAGACAGTTGGAGCTCAGCTCAGGTAACTTGTCAGCATTGCAAAACTGTCTCAAAAAAAATCGTAAAAGGCCTGGGGATGTGGCTCCGTGTGAAGGTCCTGGGAGCAATAAAAAATAAAAAAAAAAGTATTCTCATTTAACCTTCAGTACAGCCTTAAAGGTATGCACTATTACGGTACGGTTCTACTTGAAACAAAGAGACAGAGAGAAACAATCTTGTCCAGTTACACATTTGTGGAGCCAAACTCGGATCCAGATCTATCAGTGTCTACACTCAATATTCTCAGTCACATGGTACTAGCCCTATTGTCCCCAATACCGAGTTACTATGGTCTGAAAATTCTCTGTATCTACGAGACAGCATTCCAAGCAATCCATCAGAGCCTGCTCTTACCTCCACATCAAAGTTGGTCATGTCAGCCTTCCACTTGAAATGGTCTTGAACAGCTCCCCCAAAGTCTCTTGCAGCCTCATTTGAGGTGAAGCAATGTTTTTCTCCTGCCCTGTTGCACGTGACTCGAAACTTTAGCACCTGAGGTGCAGTTTCTTCTTTCAAATGTTCATCAGTCTCATCTTTGGAAGATGCCAGGTCATCACCTACTAATGTTGAGATCTCCTCTTTGATGGCTGGATTTTCATAATAGTCTAAGATATGAGAATCTAAAGCACTATCAGTAAACCCTCTAATATCTCTTCCATCTAATTTGTCTCCTTGTCCGTTATCAATTTTTTCTTTATTTGAATTCTGACTCATCTTTTTGCGCTTTGTTTTTTTTTTCTTGAAACAGGTATTAATTTCCCATACTTTTAAAGGATCTGACCATGGGAGTTTTCCAGCCAAGTCTTCAAAATCTTTCAGTGCTTCTTCCTATAAAAGACAGAATGAAACCCATTCATTTCTCACTACTTAATTTTTCTGATTTTTTCCAGACAGATTCTGGCCTTGAACTTGAATTTGTTCTTCTGCATTCAGCCACCAGTGTGCTGGGATTGCAGCTGTGAGCCACCACTGTCCAGTTCATTTCTCACTACTAAACAAATAAACCTCTAATAAACTAACCTCTACTTTGCTTACAGACTACACTAGTCATTTTTTTTGAAGGTGTGAAGGGGGCACAAGACAAAAAAGTAAAACAAAAAACTGCCTTTAGTTAAGGAAATTGAAATCTCAATGATAAATTAGGATACATACACATTAAACCAATAAAGAGTAATATAAGAACTGGACATGGTGGTACATGCCTATAATCCCAGCAATTGCAGAGGGTGAGGCGGGTTCAAGGACAGACTGAACTACAGAGCAAGACCCTGTCTCAAAAATAAAATAACAACAACAACAAATTAAACTTTAGTAAGAAACTACATGATATAATCCACATCCTCAATGAAGTCAAGTGTAATTGTCATAAAAAATTACTAAGAAACTATTACATCCCCCCCCCGCAATACTGCCAATTAAACCCAGGGCCTCTGTCCATACTGAGCCACATCCCCAGCCTTTTTCATATTCTGAGAGGGTCATGCTAGATTGCTTGGGCTGGGCTTGAACTTCTGATCCTCCTGCCTTGGCATCCCAGAATGCTGTGATTATAAAGCATAAACCACCACACCCAGCTTAAATTAAAATTTAAACTATGAGAAGCTACCTCCAAGGAGGGGACATAGGTAAATAAAAGACAAGGAAGAGAAAGGACATTTTAACCTCTCATTGACTTTTTGTGGTGTGTGGAAATCAGGTTCAACTCCCACCTCTCCCCTGTTACTGTTGCTTGATACAAAGGTGGAATCCTATGTTGTGTTACATATTAGTTACTGTAAAAACAAAACATTTTTAAAGGAAAAAAATCTTCAGCAGTTAAAAAATGCATCTGATTCTTATATAGAGTCATCTTTTAAAAAAGTAAATCCTGTGTTGCCCCTTTCTTGCTAAAAGCCCTTGAACAGCTTCCCAAAGCACAGTCTGACTCCTGCCTATTCTCTCACACATTTCACGGCCATTTTTTTCATTCCTTCAAGTCTGTTTGGAAAGTACCTGCTTCACATTCTGCACTGCAGACCTCTTCCTCATTACTTAACAGCACATCCTCTGAGAAGCCTGCTTTACTGAATGTCCTTCCCAGTCATTCTCTTCCTATTTGATTGCAATACTCAGCACTATCTAAGGTTATTAAGTTTATGTCCTGTTCACCATGAAGGCTCCTCCCAGTATGTAAGTGCATAGTGGAAAAGACCTTATCTGCCTCAACCTCTGCTATCAGCCACACACCTAGAACAATACTGGCATATAAAAAGTGGTCAATAAAAAACTGCTGGATAACATATGATTAAATATTAAAATGCAAAGTACAGTCATGGCTGTCCAATAGAGCAGCCACTAACCACATGTAGTTATTGAAACTTAAATGATTTAAAATTACAGAAAATTACACTCAGTTCCTCAGTCACTTTAGCCACATTTCACCCACAACTACCTTGTGGTCAGCATGTTGGACATGTACATATAGACACTTCCATCCTGAAGTTCTATTACATAACACTAGTACTGATTGTGTGTTACTAAAGATCAAAGCAGAAAGAAATGTGCTGACTGATGCAACTGAGACTTGGCAATTTGAGTGGAAGCTTTGCTACTACTGAATCTTCTTGAAATAGCATCAAACTTCAGGGTTAGCAAATTCAATTCAATTAACAAATAAATTTTCCTATAAAGGGTCTATAGAGAAATGGTCAGTTGAAATGGTAGGACAGGGCCAGGGATTTAGCTCAGTGGTTCTGGTGCCTGCTTTGCAAGCACAGGGACCCAAGTTCGATTCCTGGTACAAAAAAAAAAAAAAAAAAAAAAAAAA